TTACTGTCAGATATTATTATACTTGATCCAACTATGCTACATCATCACTGCGCTGCGACCCCCCTATACTGGGTATTTTTTTTGATTTTGTGTCTGTTGCCACTTTTTCTCAGGTCTCACTGTACCGATTTCTTTCAACGATACATCAAAAGATCACAAATCGTATCCAGTTGAAGACATTGCCCTTAAAAATTGAAAAAATTTCTCTCGTTCTCTGTAAATGGGGGAAATTTCTAAAAAAAAATTGCTATTTTAAAAATCAATCATTTTACTTTTTTCATAAGTGCCATAACTTGAAAAATAAATAAATCAAAATAATTTTTCTTTTAATAGAAACCTTAGGTATTTCACTTTTATTTGATATAATTTTTTTGAAATTCTTACCCTTTAACTATCCAAAAGTGGAGATTCAAAATAGCAACTTTTTTACAAAAGCCAACTTTTTCAATTTAAATAATTTTAACACCATTTATAGAATTTACAAAATTTACAATATGCATATTATGGAAAATCCACAAAATATGTAATTTTCAAAATTTAAGATTTAATAACTAGATAAAGTTGTTGTATAACAACATTCTAGGAGCACTGGCTAAGTTCGGAAAAGCTCCATTATTTTTCTTTATAAAGTTAAGTATATCAATAGATATTATTGATTGTTCGACTACGTTTTGACAAATTAAGAATTTATCAAATAAATCATACGTACCAACATTCAAATAAGGAAATAGGAGATCATGTTGCTTTTCGAATAATCCACAATTTTTTTTAATATAACACTATCTACAGATTTGCATCGAATCGTTTTTATGATTGTGATTTTAATCAATGTCAGATTAAATCTATACTGGACCCAATTATGTCACGTTGCCACTGTGCTGGGTTTTTTATGTTCATTTCCTTCACTTTATAGAGATTTCAATTTTAATTACTCAAATGGCAACACACATAATTAAGTAGCTTATTTATTAGATAATTACATAATTGAGAATGTGATTGGTAGATAACAACTTTAGGATCAGTATTTCAGAAGTTACTAACTATCTAAAATATAGTAGGTCGTGAGTCACGGTTTCTGTTAATTTTATCACTAGACATTTCTCAGCCAGTTTCTTGCTTCAATCTAGATATAAAAATGTTAATACATTCTAAAATATTGGTTTAAAAGCCTGTAATAAAAATAAAATACTTAGAAGAACGTGATGACACAAGCTGGTATGGTTTTAGCTTAATAAAATTACCAGGTAATCCAATCAACCGTTGAAAAAAAAAAAGGTTATCTATGCTAAATATCAATAACAATATTTAATTATTAACATTCATAACCACTAATAAAATGTATAAGTTAACTAATATGGTTTACACATGAGTAACACTATCGTCTGTAAACTGTATTTATCATACATTAATATGTATAAATAAACAAATAAATTCATCTAAATCATTTGCGGGTTTTCCGTTTAATAAACTCATATACAAGGTGTTCAGTAAAACAGGAAACGGGTTTCTATTGTTCTCATTGTTACAAACAATGAGAACAATAGAAACCCGTTTCCTGACTTACTGAACACCCTGTATAGTTTATAGACGCATGTGATTACATAATATTAAATTATACAAAATTGTTTTTCATTAATAAAAAAAAGTTTCAAAGAAAAATTAAAAATCTTAAAATGATTAGTAATTAACATGGTTCTGTTGGATTTGAGGAAATATTTAAATTATAACTATTATAATTATATTGGTTTGAATAATGAGTTATTTATTTAAATTGTTTAATATTCATGATGACGCTAAAGGTAAAATAAAATAAAAAAATCATCTGGTTCTCTACCAATGATAAAAAAATATGTGATGCCTGGTTTACATCATAATTTATTTGAAACTATTCATAATAATTAATTCAAATATGATTTATTGATGTACATGTAATTTGAACATAAAACAACAGTTTTATAGTTAAGTAAGTAAAATGATAATTTGCACAAAAATATGGCAGAGATAATAATAAAGTAGAGACAAAGCAAAATTACTCTCATTAGCTAATTGTGATATAAAAAAGGGTTTTTATAATATTACATTTTGTATTTATTAAGCATAAGTTCAAATTACAGAATTGTACACCATGTACCTTATATACAGTCGATAGTATGTTTAAATTGAAATTAATTCTTGAAATTTTTATTAAGTTATTTTTGTTTTTATCTTGTATACTGAAACTTATATAATAATAACTAATTTATCTGTCTATTGCGACTTGTTTGATTTTTATTCAAATTTAAATAACAATGCTTTTTTAACCCATTACATTTGTTTAAGGTAAAAGTAGAATAAATAAATAATTAAATACGGTGTTTTACAATTTATCACTTTATAAAATTATTACAAAACAGTTGAGTAATAATTTTTTGAATTTTTTACGGGTATATATTTTGAATACATTTTTTTAAAATTTTAACTCGTAAAAAAGACCGTTTTGGAATGAACTTGAAAGGTTTTTATAAGTTGAAAATATAGATTTTTTTAAAATCTACACATTTATTCTATTAATAAAAATACATCATTAAAAGCTTATATGTAGAATTAGAATTAAATCTAAAATGTTGGATAATCCTTGGGACAAGGACAAATTTATTAATTATTTATGATTATCTTGTTGAAAATTGAAGTTTGAGTCTTAAATACTCAAGTTTTTAAGAACTATAGTTCAAGAATACAAATCAAAATCAGTAAGCTTTTGAACCGGTTTAACTCTGTATATCATGGCCGGCTAAGTTATTTCTTGAGTAATATTCTATCATATTACAAAAGATATTTTGTTTCTATTGATCTTATCAAAAATTAGTAGATCAAATTCATATATATATTTTTTTCTATCGAATTGTATTACTAGAATTTAGAATAATTAATCTCATTTTGTTAAATATTAAATTATAATGATATAAAACAATGATAATTTTGTTTTGAGTTATTAATTTTTATCTATAAAAGGATCAGGGTTTTTTAATAAAAAAAATAATTTATGTTTGTTTCTGGGTAATTACAGGTTTATGAATTTTTGGCAATTATGGTGGTAAGAAGTATTGTATTTTTTATTGCTCATACATAGTATATATGAGTAATAGTAGTAAACATAGAGTTACAGAAGCACCAGAGGATGTTAAATAAAATGTATTGTCAATTAGATTTTTGATGTTGCTTACTTCGTATGTTCGATAATTTTATTGATATTCTTGCTTTACATATTTTTTATGATTGTTATTATTCGTTGTAAATAAAATTAATTTAATTGATTTTTTTATCGTGAGTATTGGACGCTTAAAATTGTGTAACTGACGCAATTTATTTTTTTGACAATTCATCTTTGTAATAATAATTCAAAGTTACATTTAATCTATCTTACTCTTTATTCTCTTATAAATAGTTAATATTTAAGAATATTACATTTTTTTTTTTTTGTTTTGATAAGAATTAATTTTAAAGTAGTTTTTAATCTTATGTGAGATGTAATTTAAAAATGAAAATCATTCTGTCATCATTATCCTTGTGAAAAACGTGTACATAGACAATTATTATATATTTTTATTAATAGACACGTGTAAAGTCTACTTATTAAAATTAAATAATTTATAATTGTCATGTCATCATATAAATTTAATAAATCTGATAACGAAATACACCTTTCTGTTTACTAATATATCATTTTTTATAGAGTAGTAAATAATGTCAAAGGCAATTAATATATATATTTTTTTAATTTTAAATGTAAAGTAGTCCTTGGCTAAAAAATTTAATGTCCAGGAAATATTTCGTCACAATATGAACATTTTTGTAAAAAGCATTAGTAAATAAATAGAAATAATACACTAATTTTGATGAATGTTAAAAAAAGTTAAATCAATGATTCACTTAGTTTCGATGAGTTTGACATGTGACAAAAACCGAATAAATTACGTTACTGTTTTTTTTTTTGAAGTAAAATAAACAAAAGAAAAAAAAACATGAAATAAGATGGACAGGTCATGGACGTGTGCTAATCGAATATACATATTTAAATAAAAATGTGACGCTAATCGCAGTAGTAAAAATTTGACTACTTTACTCATCCTATGTTTTTATTCTTACAATAATGTTAAAAATTTTTATGCTTTTTAATATTTTCACGGTATAATTTTTTTTTTAAACATAACTCCAATATATTTACAATGGTTTATTTAAAATTAGTTATTATCATGTAATCTCATTGTAAATTTGTAGTGTTCCACAACGATGAATACACGGGAAAACACTGAGGCTACGACCACAGCCAAGGTCGTTTAACATGTTTATAGTGTATTATACATTTTAAGCAATGTCAAGGTCATGTTGTTACATCTTCAACAATTTGTTACGACTAAAATTTTGTCTTGTCTACTTAAATACATACTTAAAAGCAAGTCTAATAATTGGCGTTCGCCCATCATTTAGCAATAAACTCTTTTTAGAAAATGTAAAAATCATAGTTCTTTTGGTTTTTAAATGTCTTTTTTTACACTTTAATTAATAGCATGCGCATTCTCACGTGTAGGAGATAAAGGAAATAGATCATATTGAAAATAAATACATAATCAATATAAATTTTGGAAAGGGTAGTAGAAAAAAATTCTAATGCGACCCCCTCAAGACAAAACTAAGAATGCGTTAGAAACTGAAAAGATTTCGGTTGAATATGCTTATAGTTTTAATTTGGTATACTACAGTCATGTAAATACTAATTACACTTAGAATACTTTGTTAAAATTATAAAGAAAATCTAAGTATTTTTGTATAAATTATAATTAGTAATAATATTTAAATATAATTATAAGAATAATTGAATAAGTTTCATACTATGTTGTATAACTTTAAAAATAATATAAACATTTTACTATTATATTGCATAAACTTAAAAAATAATTTTATCAAACAACTTAATTAGAAATAAAATACATATATTTATATATATTTGTTTAGTAAATTACCTTCTCTTTTTAACTATTTGTAAAACATTTTTATGAACATAGTTGAAGAAAATTTTTGTAGATAACCAGTGATCCTATAAAATAGAAAAATATTTATTGTGACAATTTAATATTTTTTATTAAATATAAAAAAATGTAGCGATTCAATAATTAGTTTCTTCTTGGGTATTTAATAAAACGTTAAATATAATATTGTAGATTACATACGTAACTTTTGGAACTCCCTGCCCTTATTGAAAATGAATTAATTTATTTACTATCTTAAATTTCAGCTTTTTTAATGAACCAACATTTAATACTATTTGATAATTGAAAAATTACAACAATTTTCAAAAATAATTCTTATAAGAAAAATAAAAAATTGATCTCTCTAGAATCTTGTTAAAATATTTTTTTCTATCCTATAAATATTTACAAAAAAAAATTAAAGTCTTAAAACACAGTTTTTTAGTTATACAATATTTAAGAATTTAAGAAAAGTTAATTAAAACATTAAGTTAAACTTTTAAACGATTTGACAAATAAGTTTCCATGTAAAAAAAAAAATCAGTATAAACGAACTTAATAAAAAAATATTAAACTAACGGTTAATTTATTGATTTAATATATATATATATATATATACATATATTTTTTTTTAATTAAGAATCATTTTTCTTTCAGAAAATGTATCAAAAAATAATTGATAATTACAATTTTTTTAAATCAAATTTTTAAAAAGTATTAACAATGTAAAATCAAATAAATTACTTGTAAGATTGAATAATATTTATTGTTTTTGTAACATTAATAAAAATACTAAAACCTTATTTTTCAGTAAAGTAGCTAAATCAAAACTAACTTTAAGATAGATAAAGCTATATTTAAAATAATTATTTAATTTGTTAAGTTAAGTTTGTGAATACATAAAATTTGTTTTGTTTATTTTAGTAAAATACAACATAAAACTTTGGTTCGTATCAGATTTAATATTATCATCTGTTATCTGCCTTTTGACGTAAAATACAATGGCAATGAATAGCAATAAAGTTTCTTTATTTGTAATTTCTAAAAGATTTCTATAATAAAACTTTAAGTTGATGTTAGTTTGCAAATAATATTGATGATCAAACAAAATAGGGTTTCTCCCGTGACTCAGTATTTTTCTTCAATTATTCATCATATTCTTTTTGTTATACTTTAATGAATAACCAGAAATCAAGATAAGAATATGAGCTGTCGTGATAGCAATTATAAATACATTTCTTTTTATGAGTGTATTTTTTAGCTTCGATGCGAAGCTGAGAAGGTATTAATTTTACCATGATGTGTTTTTTTTATTTTTTTTTTTATGTCTATTGCCACTTTTTCTCAGCTCTCACCGAACCAATTTCTTTCAACGATACGTCAAAAGATCACAAATCGTATCTAGTTGAAGACATTACCCTTAAAAATTGAAAAATTTTCCCTCGTTCCCCGCAAATGGGGGAAATATCCAAAAAAATTACAAATTTAAAAATCGCTAATTTTTGTAATTTTTTCACTTTTTTTTCTTAAAACTTCCATAACTTTTTGAAAAATCAACAAATCAACATNCTTTCACTTTATTTCTTAAAACTTCCATAACTTTTTCAAAAATAAACAAATCAACATAATTTTTTTTATACTAAAACCTTAGATATTTCACTTTCATTTGATATTATTTTTTTGAAAATCTAACACTTAACCTGCTCATTGGGGGGGATTTAAAATAGCAACTTTTTTACAAAAACTAACTTTTTCAACTTAATTTTTGAAAATGTTCCGGAAATACTGCGTCCTTTAAACATATATCAAATTAAAGCTTATTTTATGTACTACAAAAAAAAATTTGTCCCGACGACCCATCTTCTATTCGCAAATGGCTACCGTATTCAAAAATATGCTATTTTTGTGTTAAAATCCTGTGTTTTGTATTTTATTTTATTTTAAAATATCTTATTAGGGGAACATTGACTTTCATGAATATTTTACAATTTAATTGACATAGAATAAAGTTCATAAGACATAAGAAATTAAACTTATTAAAATTTTTTTATTTTTAAAATTGAGTTAGCTTAAATAGCCAATTTTATCAAGTGGCGAAAGAAAGGAACAGTTGCCGAGTCAGTAACACTTGTATCTATCGTGTATACGGTACGAGGTTCAAATCCGTATGTGGTGGCTTTTAATAATTTGCATTTTTTTTTAGTTAGAATAAAATTTTCAAATCATTTGATATTTATCTCATTCAGATTTAATAACTTCAATAAATATAAAGGATCCTATCACTATAGTCTCCCTTTGTGAGAAGAAATTTATAATCATGTTAATATTATTTTACTATGTGGTTTTTTTTGTGGCTACGATTTATTTTGCCAACCCTCACTAGACCTACTATTTCAAACGATACGTCAAATGATTCATTTAAGTTTATGATATTTAAGTTAATGATTAGTTTAAGTTATTACTCTTAAAAANTTTAAGTTATTACTCTTAAAAATCGAAAAAATATTCTTTATTCAAATAAAAAGTAGCATAACCAGATTTTTCCATACAAACAATTAAAATCATTCATTTTTAATATTCTTAAAGTATTCATTGTCGAATTAGATTTGATATGATAAAAGTATTCAACTACAAAAGTAAATAATTTTACTTTATAATTTATTAATTTTTTAACTCTATTTCTGTGTGCTACTANATTTTAACTCTATTTGTGTGTGCTACTATCAGTCTATAATTTTTTTGTAACATGTTGCTATATAAATCATAAATTAAAAAAAAAATGATTTTTAGTTTCACCTGAATTTAACGATGGATTTTTACAATTATAATCAAATTTTATAATACGCTCAATTGAGTAAATCTTTTTAACAACTTTTTTTTTATTGGTTTTTTTAGATATATAATCATTAAAATTAATTTAATTCTGAATATTTCTATTGTAGAATCTTTTTAAACGCCAAAAGTTAATTAGAAATGATTACTATGATTTTTATTTAAGTGATCTATTACGATAAAAATGTAAAAAATCTAACTTTTCTGAAAAATGTACTGTAAATAGTAATTATAAAATTTCCTGATTGCATATTAATCTTAAAAATTTCATTTTTTTTCTATTTAATAATGTCAATTTCAAACTTGCAAGTTGAGTTAAATGTTATGGCAATAAATTCATTTTTTTTTTTTATTAAAACTTTCACAATAAAAAGTAGGTTAAAAATGATTACTTTTAACATATTAAAAATCAAAATCAATAATAATTTTAAAACAATTAATTTTAAAAATTATATAATATATAATTAAAAAAATTACTAATCTGGATATAATTAAGGAAATAGAAGTTGATGTTGCTTTTGTAATTATCCATCAATTTTTTTAGAATTTAACACTATCTACAGATTTGCATCGAAGCGTTTCATATGATAGTGATTTTAATCACTGTCAGATTAAATCTACACTGCACCTAACTATGCAACGTCTCCACTATGCCTCGAACCCACTGTGCTGGGTTTTTAATATTGACAAATATCACATTTTATTAAAATTTGTGATACACACTGTTGCAGTATAAGTTATTACTTACTTATCAGTATATTATATATAATAATTACTTGCATAAAACATACATTTTTGATGTCTAATATAAAATAATTAAAAGTATAATTAAAAAAATCTTAAAAATCATTTTACCTTGAATCATTCATATTGCTTCGAAAAAAAAAATCCTTTTGATTTGTTTTAAAACTAAAAATAATTATAACAGTAAATTTTTTTATTAAATTTAGTATGTTTGTACATTCTAAAATAATATATAATTTTAGAACATTGTATTTTAATAACGCTAGTCAAAATGTACTGTATTGAGTTCAAGGCCATCTTTATTTTTCTACGTTTTATGCTGATTAATAAATTATTAATTTTATTTCACAGATTTGCTAATTTTTCAATGATTCAAGAGCTATTTTAATAATAATCAGTTAACATCCTGTTAGTAATGAAATTTGTGTTGAAAGTAAAAAAAGAATAAAATATTCTAAAGAATATAAAAAATAATCGGATCAAAATTTTTGTCAAAAATCTCATTGTGATATTGATATGTTATAATATAAACTTATGGTGGAATACTTATTGATTTTTAATAATCATTAGTGTTATAATTGATTATTTAATTTAATTTGATCTAAAATACTACAAATTTCAAATCATAATAATCAATTAAAAATTCTTATCCATAGTTATTTTTTCATGTGTTATGATAATATTTGTTCTTATTTCGGTTTTCAACGTGACACATAGTGTTTATTTAGAAAAATAAACTCATAGATAGAGTTGTATGTTGCTATGGCAAAGGTATCATTAAATCAACCACTGTTAAACAGCTTAACTACCTCAGGGTTCACATCAAAGTAGCTAATCTTTCACGTGCCATTGGACCAAACAAACTGTCCGATATTTAAGAAAAATTCATTAGAATCGTATTACATGGTCGTCTTGTGCGTATCATATAATACGATTGTCCAGTGACTTCTGTTCTAAATGTAAATTGTGTTTCATAATAACAATATGTAAAGTACAAGTAGCATTTGTCACGTTTGTGTGTCCAGTCCAGTTAAAAATACATATATTTGTTGTTAGAAGTACAACGATATTGTAATATAAATGTATCAAGACTTAAAAGTGACGTAACGACTGCATTAAAATTTGTGCGTTAGTACAGGTTAGCAGAAATTGGAACATTTTATTTCAAAATTGTATTTTTCGATTGTATTAATACACGAATTAAATTTATGAAAAAAAAAAAACGGTAGCACAGTGGGGTCGAGGCACAGTGAAGACAAGGCATAGATGGGACAAGTATAGATGATATTTGACAGTGATTTAAATCACTATCATAAGAAACGCTTCGATGCAAATCTGTAGATAGTATTTCATTTTAAAAAAAAATTTGTTAAAATAGCATATTTTTGAATACGGTAGCCGTTTGCGTATAGAAGATAGATCGTCGGGACAAATTTTTTGTTTTCATTTTGTAGTACATAAAATAAGCTTTAATTTGATATATGTTTAAAGGACGCAGTATTTCCGGAACATTTTCAAAAATTAAGTTGAAAAAGTTATTTTTTGTAAAAAAGTTACTATTTTAAATCCCCCCAGTGAACAGAATAAGTGGTAGATTTCCAAAAAAAATTATATCAAATGAAAGGGAAATATCTAAGGTTTTAATACAAAAAAATATTATTTTTATTTGTTAATTTTTGAAAAAGTTATGGCAGTTTTAAGCACAAAAAACATCCCGATAAAAGGTAATTTTTATCGCAATCATTACATTTTTTTTTAATTTTCGACAGCCATTTGCACATAGAAGATAGATCGTCGGGACAAATTTTTTTTTTTTATTTTATAGTACATATAATAAGCTTTAATTTTATATATGTTTAAAGGACGCAGTATTTCCGGAACACTTTCAAAAGTTCAGTTGAAAAAGATCTATGTTTTTTACAATATTTCAAGTTTTGAACGCCCCCTATATAAGGGGAAATTGTCTAATTTTAATAAAATGTATTTCAGATGAAAGATGTACTTATAATGTATTTAGAAAAAAAAAAATTGTGCTGATACATACATTTTTCAAAAAGTTATAGCATTTTTAAGTTGAAAATTAAAAATCGAAAATCTAAAATTTTAACGCAAAAATAGCGTTTTTTTAACTACGGCAGCCGTTTAAATGTAGAAGAAAAAGTGTCGGGACAAATTTTTTTTTTTCATTTTGTAGAACATAAAATAAGCTTTAATTTGATATATGTTTGAAGGACGCAGTATTTCCGGAACATTTTCAAAAATTAAGTTGAAAAAGTTAATTTTTGTAAAAAAGTTGCTACTTTAAATCCCCCCTAATGAGCAGGTTAAATGATAGATTTTCAAAAAAATAATATAAAATGAAAGATAAATATCTAAGGTTTTAGTATAAAAAAAAATTATGTTGATTTGTTGATTTTTCAAAAAGTTATGGAAGTTTTAAGAAAAAAAAGTGAAAAAATTTCAAAAATTAGCGATTTTTAAATTTGTAATTTTTTTGGATATTTCCCCCATTTGCGGGGAACGAGGGAATTTTTTTCAATTTTTAAGGGTAATGTCTTCAACTAGATACGATTTGTGATCTTTTGACGTATTTTTGAAAGAAATCGGTCCAGTGAGAGCTGAGAAAAAGTGGCAACAGACATAAAAAAAAAAAAAAACACATCATAGTAAAATTAATACCTTCTCCGCTTCGCATCGAAGCTAATATCTTACTTTTTTAAAAGCTTAAATAATAATGTGTTATTGAGCTGTTGTCTTCGATAATTTTTAAGTATCAACAGTTATTTAATCCTAAAAATTAACTACTTATATAAGACATAATATTATGTAAACGGAATATAAAACAATAAATTATTTTCGTAAGAATAGGAATTGTCCAAATTACATATTTAAGAAAGTTGTGATGACGGTAGACTTAAAGGGCTCTTATCGTATTTTAACATCCTGACTGTCATGGTGATATTTTTTTTGAAAGTAATATTTTCCGATTCCCCGAGTTGGTTATGAACTCATCTCTATGTACGAAATGGTATTCAACATTCTGATCTCAATCCAAGCCAGTGTAGCTATATTATTTTATTTCTAAAGTATTTAAAATATTTGTCAACATTTAAACATGGTTTTCTAGAAAAAAAATCTTAAAATGTTGTCTCAAGTGATGTTATCATGAAAGTATTGATATATGTATATATCTTCTTTGATGAATATTTGTTTTGTTAAAGATAAAGAATTATACAACCATGTTAAATTGTTAGGTATGCAAGAATAAATTTAATGTTTTGTATTAAAACGTAAAAAATAAATCAATAGCGTATATTACAAAATGTTGGAGTACTTTTTTAGTACTGGCGATTTTGTATAATCAATATAATGCTAGTACTTTACCAGCACTGGCTGCCAATTACTAACTTCCAATACTGGAACAGTACTTAGAAAAGATGCCAACCATAATTACACTAATACGATCTAGCCAATGTCCAGTCGTCAGTACTGGTGTAATACTTCGACTGTTATCAATACTGGTACATTACAAAAATTTCTGCTTGGGTGAAGAAAATAATGACATTTTTAATTAGACCGGATAATATTTGGTAAGTTGAAATTCAAATCGTACTATTTCCATAAATAGTACGTTTTTCAGGAGATGTGATTTTCTGAAATCAAAAAGATATGTTTTGCACAATATTGTTATTTTTTTTTATAGGTAAACATTAATTTAAATGTAGTTCTTATCATTTCTAATTATAATTATAGTATTTATAAGACGTGTATAATTATTTTTCTATACAAAATTAAAAGTTATATAATGGAAAATGTAGATGGATAATGAAATTAATTAAAATAAATTACTTGGCATGTGAAAAATTATTCAAAATAATTTGACTTAAATATCGTTTTTATTTAAAAACCTCATATAATTATGCGTTATATATAATTTCTATTAGGTATTAGGTATACAAGGTAATCTGTTCATTACAAACCACTTGATTCAATTGGTAATTCTTAGCAATAAAAAAATGTATAGAAAATATTTACGTAACAACTTCATAGGCTCGATAGGTCGATAATAACTTTTAAACCATTGTTTCTAGAGTTTAATTTTTTACATTTAAGTAAGAGGAGGAGCGTAGCTGATGAATGCCTAAATGATACAAGTAAATATGACCCACACCCCGTCTATATTTAAAAAATATTGAACACTCTTGGAATACTAGTTCAGACTCTTTTCGGCTTGTAATTTTTAAACCTTAATTTAATTATTATTTAATATCTCAGCTAGCATATAACGTATAAGTTAGTAACAATAAAAAACATTTCACTATCGAGAAATATATATTGTTTTTATTTTTATTTGCATGCTATTGAATAATTCATGACAATCGGATCATCTGTATACGCATATGCACAGAAATGAAAAGATTATTTAAACCAACTCTAAAACTTGAAAAATGAAACAAATAAATTAGGACTTGGAAATAAATTCAATCGTAGTCATTTACTGTTTTAATCTAAAATTTATAAGCTTGTGTTTTGTCAGTTATATCAAATATGAAATTTCGAAATTTAATTAAAAATAAAATTATAATAATAATTATATATAATTAAAAATAAAAAATGATGTGTATAAACTGTGAGGCGAAAAATATTTTTTATATGTGTAATTTAAATAAATAATTATTATATCATAAAGTAACGGTATAATTTCTTAGGATTGTCAAAAAACTATTCTAAAATAGATAAATGTAAATTTAACTCGAAACAAAAACTTTTTGATTTAAATAAATGTATTCAGATTTTATTGAAATTCTATTTATTTTGTAATAAATTATATAAATAAACAACAAATAGTAATTAATTATTCATAAATCAAATCACGAAAACTATTTTTAAAAATTTACTGAAGTCTAACAAAAGTTATGGTAAAAAGGTGTTTTATTTCACATTGTTTCAATTAATGGCTACAAAAAGTAAACAAATTTTTTCTTAAAATCATTTTAGTACACATTTGGCTTAAGAAACTCTTTCTTTTTGTTAAAGTGTAATATATTCTACTTTAATGAACTCTTATGCAAAGTTTTTAATTTTGTTTATTGTCGTCTTGAAAATCAGTCAAAACTACAACGAAGTTTTATTTATTTTTCATTATTTTGTTAAATCATCAAAATTATTTACTTAAAGCCATACATATTTTTAATAATAAAATGTTAGTAATTTAAAAAGGAAATTAGATTGGTTATTTATTATTATTGAAAACTACAATAGACAATTTAGGTATAGTATAAATGTATCATTGGCGTATTCATTGGGATGATATGGGTGTCACATCCCTCTATAATTAAAATAATTTTCAGTAAAAGTATAGTTTTTTTATTTGGAGGGGGAATTGAATATATTTTTTATGTATATTATCCCAAAGATAAAAAGATAATTATGCTACTGAATTTTATTGTCTAGTGAATTAATGTACTGTAATTTTATAATACTTATTTTCCTAGATTCATCTTTTATTTAAATCTCTTTATATACTGATATTAAATTTCTATAAACTATTACACATAAAATCAAATAAAAAACTATCTGGCTGTGATAAAATTATTATCTTTTGTAAGAATACATAACTAAGAAACAGATTCATATATATTTATAAATCTTGTCTTCTCATTATGAACTTATCACCAGTCAGTATAAATTTTTATTAATTGGCTAAGAAACATAGTAATGTATTGTAACTGGTGGTATAAATTGAGAGGGATTAGGAGAATTAAGAGGGTATCTTCGCCCTAAAATGAAAAATATTTATATGCTGTTATATATTCTAAAAACTAAGTTGCACAAACTTGGATCCTTTCAAAGTGGTTAAAACAAAAATCATAAATGCATATCAAATATAATTCAAATAATAATAATAATTATTTTTTTTTGTATAAATATGTTAATGTTCTTTGTTTTTTAATATTTTGTTCATAAGCCTAAATAAAACATATGTGATGACTTCTCTATCTCTATTTTAAAACATTAACTGTCAATAACTTAATGTGTCCCAGTTTACAAAACCATATTTAGATTTTAAAATTGATTGAAACTGTTTGAAATACGTACGTCAAAATACTTGGCAAACCTTTATGTCCGGTAAAATACACTTGATTCAAACATAATCTGTAAATATTTTTACCCTTGAAAAGTTTTTGGGTACTTAAATTTTTTTGTTGATCTAACCAAATATATATTTTCCAACCTTCGTTAACAAGCTAAATATTTTATATCAAAATTATATTTATACAATGTGGGTCATATTTTTGATGTTTTACAATTAATCATCTATACAATATTCTATAAAGGTATGAAAATATTTTCTGTATTTAATTGAAAATCTAAACAGTATAATAGCAGTAAAATATACAGGCGTCTCCGATTTAACTGACAACGTTTATATTTTTTATCCAATTATCATTGAAATAAAATATTTTTTAAATAATTATTATTTTATTAGATTACATTCAAAGCATATTTTTTTATTATTTTTCATAAATTTTCATAATTTATAAATAGCCATTTTCAGCCCTTTTATTACAAAAAAATTTGATGGGTCGATAACAAATTAAGGACAAGTTCTTATCGAGCTAAAAGCATATAAATATAAAGAGTGGGTATAAAATGCGAGCAAAGTAAACATACACCAGTACGGAGTGCACTCATTCACGCTACATAATAGAGCGGGTGAAATCTCTTAAAAGTGGAAAACCCATATTTCAAAACACTTCAATTATTTTTTATGTCCCGCCTTAACTTCTATTGAAAAATCACGATTGTGATTTTCATATTAACCTTGAGTAATTTTTGCTTAATAATATAATGCATAATATAATTAATTTTTTTTTTAAATTATATATAACATTCTTTCTAAAAACTATTGATTGTGCCATAGAGGATGGTAAAAATTACATAGCCCAACACAACGGCATCGAACTTTGGTACCAACGCATAATGCACGAAGTATTACCGACTGAGCTAGGTAGGTTGCCTAATTGAATATTTAATTAATTTAAAGATATTTCAAAGCATTAAACATTGTTTTCCAATATCAAAATTTTATTATTGTTTAAGTGAAAATGAATAATTAAATTTCGTTTTATGTTTTGACTACTTAATCTCAATAAATACTTGTAACTTTGAAATAACTTAATTTTGCAATCTTTGTTCTCTGTATTATTGTTCCTAATAATAATAAAGGTACTAAAATATTTACAATGGAATTGTCAATAATTAAGAACTTGTGTCAATGTCTTTGTAAATTTAAGTGATGTAAGGAATAAAATAAATTTTAATAACTCATAAATTTTATTTTATTTTTGAATATACAATAGAGAAGTATAAGTGATCTGATGTAATTATTTGTTATTTTAAGTAATTAACTAAAATTATTTTTATGTAATTTTTTAACGTGCCTTGAATATACTGTACCAAATTAAAAAGTAATGGACCTTTTAACAATAAAAAACTTTGTTTTTTATGTAGTATAGTTTTTTTTAAATTTTACTATTTTAAGCTTGAAATAAAAAATAACTGTTTTCAGGTTATAAAATTTGTGAATTCTGTAGCTGACTAAAGATTAGATTTCGAAAAGTATTATGACCAAAATGTTATTAATGCATGACCCGAGCTTTTTTAAAGGACTTCGTATTATGGGTCCATAGATCCCCTTATAAGGACTCTGATTACTTCATTAATTTAACTTATTGTACACACACATCGAATCTCATGAACTAAAGTAATAATTTTTAGTTTACATAATTAAGAATTGATAAAAATTAAATATATTTTTTAAAAACAGTAATATCATATTGATTAACCATTTATATATAGAAAAGTTTTTAAACAAAGGAAGATTTTATTTGATTGAGCTGTGGTTGGAATGTTGAATGGTATTACATTCCCTAATTTTTAAATAGCTTCTATTAAAAAATAAGAGTGAATCATTCACTTGTATAACATAAATCTCTTACGTTTCTTAAAGGGACAAAATTGTTATGTAAATATATAATTATTAATGTAAAAAAAATTATTAAAAATATCTTTATTGCGTTGTTATGTATTGTATTGTATGTACATTATAATGTATTTAAGTATAATGATAGATAAAGAATATAACTTATGAATGTAAATAGTATGCGTACCTATTAGTTAGACTAAATGATGAACATAAACTTATTTAATAGTTAAAAATGCGGGTCTCATTTGAAGCATTCGGTGAAAACATTTAAATCGAAATAATAGATAATGATTTGAAATATTGCCAATAAACACATCATTCATTTAGTGTTATCTATAAATGATAAATAAATAGAAAAATAGTAAAAGAAAAATATAATAATATATTTTTCCTCCTTTTAAAAAAAATTAATCTACATTATGTAAATGAAAAATATGAATAATTGTATAAGATCATAATTGAACATTATTTTGGAAGTTTTGGTTTATTAAATATAATATTGCTTTAAAAAATGTCTTATTAAAGTAAAATACATACAATTTTTTTAATGAATACACAAAGATTTTGTTAATATATGTACTCAACAGAGTTTTAATAATATTGGTTTTAATAAATATTGGTTTTCATGTACAGTTAAAATTTAAATGACGTTTTATTAAACGT